AAAACCTCTAATAGAACGACACCCGGATCCTCCACTTTGAGCCTATATATCTCATTTTCTTTTGAAAGATATCAAAAAGTGGTTAACTAGTAAAATGTTTATCAGGATATCAGCAACATATCAAAAAGTGGTTAACTAGTAAAATGTTTATCAGGATATCAGCAACATATCAAAAAGTGGTTAACTAGTAAAATGTTTATCAGGATATCAGCAACATATCAAAAAGTGGTTAACTAGTAAAATGTTTATCAGGATATCAGCAACATTTTACTAGTTAGCCACTTTTTGATATCTTTCACAGAAAATGAGATATATAGGCTCAAAGTGGACGATCCGGGTGTCGTTCTATTAGAGGTTTTACGGTATTTTAAAATGAAAAATCAGCTTTTTTTGGATTTTTTGGGTCAAAAAAGCACTTTTTTAACTGAAACATTAGCTTTTTTTCAATTTTTTTAAGGATTAAAAACAGCTGAAAATTCCAAATTTTCAGCATTAAAAAAGCCAAATTTTCAGGCTTTTCGGCTCAAAAATTGCTCATTTTGAACCAAAAAAACCTTTCAAAAACCGATTTTTGACTCAACAACAGCTTGAAAGTCTTAATTTTCAGCATTAAAACACCCGAAAACACGAATTTACATTTTACTAGTTAACCACTTTTTGATATCTTTCAAAAGAAAATGAGATATATAGGCTCAAAGTGGACGATCCGGGTGTCGTTCTATTAGAGGTTTTACGGTAAGCATATTTTGAGCCTAAAAACCTCGATTTTGAGCCTAAAACCATCGATTTTGAGCCAAAAAATTCCAAAAATCAGTCGAATTTTCCCCAAATTTCCCCATTTTTCCCCCATTTTTTCTAGATTTTTCCCTATTTTTTTCCTCTTTTTTATATGCACACAAGGTCCTTTTTTTCGTCCTGTTTTCTGTTTTTTTTTTCTAGAAAATTCTCTTTTTTTCCATATTTTTTTTGGAATTTTCAAAAAATTAGATTTTAAAGAATTTTTGAGAGTTCTCAGCGAATTTTTAATAGGAAAATTCAATGTATTATAGCGTTTAAGATTCCAAATTTTTGAAAAAAAAACGAATTTGGCTTTTAGCATTAGAGCGCATTTTCTCAAATTTCTTGAAAACCTTTTTTTTTTCGAAAATTTGAATTCTCCGCCAAAACATTTTTTTTTTCCTATTTTTCTGGGTGTTTTCCACTTGTCTTCTTGCTCTGCTGTTCTTTAATTAATTGATAAAAAGATATTCAATGGAAAAAATTGAATTTTCCCAAAAAATCCAATTTCCAAAAATTGAAATTTTCCTAAAAATTCAATGTTCCGATGTTCCTATTTTACAAAATATGATTCTAATCACGGCATCGCGGTTGGGAACCTGAAAAACGCGCGCTTCGTCGCACACAAAAGTTGGCTGCGTGCCAGATTCGAAAATTTCAAAACATGTTTTGAAAAAAACGTGAAGTTAAGCGTTGTTGAGTCGCTACTCACCGAAAAGCCGCGACGCGACCGCGCAACGCGTCCAAAATTGGCGCGCTTTCCAGTTTTTAAATCTAGGTTCCCTTCCGCGAGGCCGTGTCTAATGAATTTTCAAAAAATCCCCAAATATTGAAAATTTTCCTCGCCGATTTTTTTCCTTTTTTTAAGCCAATGTCTGCGTCTCTCAAGTCCACCTACTCTCTCTCTCTCTCTCTCTCTCTCTCTCTCTTCCTTTCGATGCCTAGTAATGCTCTTATCATTTCTTATCAATGATTCGTTGTCACAATGTTCTCTTATTGCTAGCCGTTAACGTTCTGGCCGAATCACTTTCTTTTTTTGCTGTGTTAGCAATAAGAAATTTCGGAAAATCAGGTGATTCTTATGGTCTGATTTTTTAAGAATCTGAAAATCTCATAATTCCAGAGCCTCGGATTTTTAGAATTCCGCAACTTCAGAATCTCAGAAACTCGGAATATTAGAATATCCGTAACCCAAGAATTCGGAACTTCGGAAACTTAGAACTTCAGAAACTTGAGAATTTAGGGATTCAGGAACCTAGAAATTCAGAATCTTCGGATTCTCGAAATTCCAGAATTTTAGAATCTAGGAATTGAGAATCCCAGAATCCCAAAATCTGAGAATTTAGGAATTTTAGAATCCCAGAATTTCAGAATCTGAAAATCCCAGAATCCAGGAGTTTAAGAATCTTAGAACCTTGAAATCTCCAAATTCTAGAATCTAAGAATCCTGGAATTCCAGGATGTTAGAATCTCAGAATCTAGGAATCCCAGAACCTCAGAATCTTAAAAACTGAGAATCTCGGAATTTCAAAATCCAGGAATCTTAGAATTTGAAAATCTTAGAATCCAAGAATCTAGGATTATAGTAATCTGAAAATCTCAGAATTTTAGATTTTTAAGATCTTGAGAATTTCGAAATCCTTAGAATCTTAGAATCCAAGAATCTAGGAATCCTAGAATTCAGGAATCTAGGAATTTGAGAATCTCGGAATCTTAGAATTTCAAGATCTTGAGAATTTCAGAATCTCAAAAATTCTAAAATTGAGAGTCTAAAAAGTTTAGAATCTCAAAATCTAAGAATCTGAAAATCCAAGATTCCCAGAATGTACGAATCAATGAGTCCCAGAATCTGAAAATCTCAAAATTTCAGAATCTTGGATTTCTAGAATTGTTGAATTTCTTAGGATTTCAGAATCTAAAAACCTGAAAATCTAAGAATATGAAATCTGCAGAATCTCAGATTTTTAAAACTTCTGGAACCCAAAATCCTGAAATTTCAGAATCTAAGCAACCAGGAATCTAGGAATTTCAGAATTTCCAAAATTCAGTCTCTCTAAATCTTAAAAATTCGAAAATTCCGAGTCTAACAATCGAAGGATCTCAGAATTCCAGAATCATAGAATTCTTGAATTCAGAATCTCAGAATCTAGGAATCTTGAAATCTAAGAATTTTCGAATCTCGGAATTTTCGGAATTTTCCAAAATCGTAATCTTGAAATCTAAGAATCTGAATTCTCTGATTTTCAGAATCTCAGAATCCTAGAATTTTCATTTCCCTTACAATCAGCTGCTTGGGACTTCTTTCTAGGAAAAAAAGTTCCGAAAGTTCTAGAAAACTTTCCCCAAAGTCAGCTGATATTTGGGACCGCCGGTCATAGACGGGCGGTCCCACAAGATACCCATTTCTCTGTTTTTTTTCCTTTATTTTCACTTGCCATGTGAATTACGTCACTTTTTCTCTGTCCCCTCTCCCTTTCTCTGCGTCTCTCCTCCTCCTACTCTCTCACCCACCTGTTTGTCCTTGGCCTCTCCCCAAGCCGCCCGACTCCCCCATCCAACCATCAAAAAGAAGAAGAAGAAGCCATAAACACCCGCTCTCCTCTATTTCTATACTCTCTCGCGCGTTGCGTACGCGCGTCGCGGTCGCCACACTCGTGACGCCGCCGTTGCTGCTGCCTTGTCTTCTTCTCAAAAGACACAAAAAAAAATCAATTTTCTGTGTCTTCACCTCCTAGAGATCGCACATGGCGATAAAATGAGCAATACCATACAGTAATCCCCCTTTAATTGGACCACCCAGGTGACAGCAAAGGGGGGGAAATTAGTGGATTTCGCAATAATTTTCGGGTTTTTTTTGTGCTAGAATTTTGGGACCTAATTTCGTAACATTCAGCAAATGTTGCGCTGAATTTCAACAAGCTAAGCTCCACCCCTAACCCGCATTTTCAGAAAATTTGCGAAAAATTAAAAAATCCAAATTTTCTAGAAATTTTCGCATATTTTCCTTAAGTTCTAAAACTTTTCTCAAATTTTAAATGATTTTAGGCCTCGAATTCCCATTTAGAATGCTTCTTTTGACTCGAAAATCTTAAATTTTGATTTTCTCAGATTTTTTTGAATTTATTGAAAATTTTCTATTTTTCTTTCATTTTTCTGGAAAATTCTAATTTCCTGTACCAGTCTTAAGCTTTAAATCTCCATTATCATGTGCCTTTTAACTGAAAAATTTGAATTTGGGATTTTTTCGAATTTTCCCGATTTTCAGCTATTTTCTCGATTTTTTCCTAGATTTTCACATATTTTCCACTCAAAATTAATTTATTTATCCATTTTTCCCGAAATCCCCCTCTGAAAACCCCTGAAAATCCCCCATTTTCAGTCAAAAATCCCGAAATTGACCCAAAAAATTGTTGCGCGTCGAATCCCGCGCATCCTACGTGTATATCACGTTTCACGTGATATCACGTACAATGCGTCATATCCCCCGCGCAAAAGCTTATCACGTGAGGCGATGACGGCTTCTGGCCCAAAATTCATCGTTTTTTGTGGTTTTTTCGCCTAAAAATGGAGTTTTTAAGTGAAAAATGATAGAAATACAGAAGAATAAATGTTTTATTAGAGGAGAATCTAGAGAAAGTTCGAATTTAGTCGAGAATTTCAGATTTTTCCGGAAAAATCTATTTTTGTCAGTTTTGTTAATTTTGAGTGATTTTCAAGAGTTTAAAGCATCAATCAGCTGCAAATGGTCTCTAAAAAGCCTATAATCCTCAATTTTCAGCGCTAAAATTCAACAATTTTCCATTTTTTTCTCGAAATTCTATTTTTTTAAGTTTCGCCTGAATTTTCCGATTTGTCCCAACTTTTCCCCCAAAAATCATGATTTTTTGCAGATCCAACGGTCTATCATTAGCATCACATAACCTTCGGGTTACTATTTTGCTCCCGGTGTAGTTCTGTAAGATCCGAAACTCTCCAAGAAGATTTTTGTATAACAAATCAACTCATAACCCAACCCTCATCTATTCAATCATGAATACTCCGACTTCGTCATCACGTGCCAGTGGCAGCAATGCAGCTCCACAGCTTCCAACGACTCCATCCCGGAATTCCGGTGGCTCCAGACATTCACGTGGCAATGGAGGACAACGAACACCGCCGCAAGGACAACAGCTGACAATGCCACGTCAGCAGCAACAGCAACGAAAGGCTCTCTCCGCGAGCCCACAATCGGTTGTCTCGTTCGCATCGTCATCGATCTGCTCATCGCCATCGGCTAGAAATGTTCCGTTGCCGCCGTTGGAATGGCTTAATAAGGTTGGAAATTGCGGATTTTAGGAGGAAAATCAGCTCTAAATTCATTTTTTCATCGAAAAATCCCGAAAATCCATCTGAAAATCACTTTTCCAGCCGAAAATCCTCCAAAAATTTACCTAAAAAGTTGCGCGTAAAATCCCGGTCATCCTACAGTGCATCACGTACAATGCATCATAGCTTACGCGCAAAGCTTTTCAGACGGCTTCTGGCCTAAAATTCATCTATTTTGGTCGTTTTTTCACTTGAAAATAGGTTTTTAGGATCAAAAAGTTGGCGAAATCAATATCTACCGGAATTTCCATCCGAAAGTTACTGAAATTCCCATTTCCCTGCCGTAATTGACTCAAAAAAAAACTTGGCCCAAAATGCGTCGAGTTTTTCCGGTTTTTTGTTATAAAAATGGGTTTTTAGGTGAAAAAAAGCAATTTTTCATTGAAATCTCCCTGAACTTTCATCTAAAACCACTGGAATTCCAATTTTCATTCCTAAATTGACCCAAAAAGTTTTGCGCGAAAAATCCTGCGCATCGTACGGTGCATCACGTCCAATGCATCAGACCTCCCGCGCAAAAGCTTAAGTCTTTAAATTCATGGATTTTCGTCGTTTTTTCGCGATAAAAATGGCTTATTAGGTGAAACATTCGAAAAATAAACATTAGAAACATAAAAATATACAAGATATGCAGTTTTATTCAAAAATTTGCGATTTTTAGGCCTCCAGAATCGAGATTTTCTTAAAATTCCAAAAAATTTCCAGTTGTCTGTTCCATCGGACGCCACTCTCTCCCGCCCATCGTCCGCCATCTCAATGTCATCATCGACGTCTTCTGAATCGCCATCGCCAGTTCTCCAAAACTATGCTGAGCAATCAGAAAAGGCGCTTCGAGATGCCGGCCTCCGCGTCTGTCCACTTCAACTCATCGCCGCCGTCGCGTCCGCGTAGAGAATTTTCTCTTTTTCATTTTCTGGAAATTTCTGGAATTTTTTGAACTTTGCGTTTTGTTTCTCTCGAAAAATTTCAGAAATTTCCACACACCACAAAACTCAAATTTATTCATATTCTGGCTTCATTCATCCTTACATTTTTCATGCTCTAAGAATTCGATTGTTTTTTTTTTGCAATTTTTGGATTCGTTTTTGTTGGAGGGAAATTTGAATTTTTAAGCTCAAAATTGCTTGAAAATTGAGATTTTTTCTCGAAAAATTCAAATTTCCCGCCCAAGAAAAAAAAATTCAAAAATTGCCCATTTTTTCTTGTCTCGGGGATCAAATCCCCCGGTTTTTCTCCCTCTCCCTGTGTGCTAATTGGTTCAGAAACACTCTTTTTCTGCTGAAACATTTTTCTGTGTATAGATAGGCCCCGCCCCCTTGAAAATTTGATCTACTTGTGCATTTTTTTCTATTGTTTAACTATGTGCAATGGAGCGCATTTTCCCCCACCCCCTCTCAAAGGCCCTCCACCCACGTTTCCCCCCGAAATTGAAGATTTAGGCTCCGCCCACTTTGTTGCCCCCCCCCCCCCCCATCCCGTGATAATTTTCCTGTACATATTGGATTGTTGTCCCACACTATGAGTTTTCCCTGTTTTTTTGTATTTTTTTTGGAAATTTCAAATTTTCTGCATTTCCCGCCAGGCCATTTATGCAAAAAATTTGAAATTCCCGCCTCTTGTGAATGCGTTCCCAATTTCAAAAATTGATTTTGGAGCGGGTCGTGTTCCCTGTTTTTTTATTTTTCTTTTCCCTCTCCTATCTCTCTAACCCTAAATCTCATTTTTGGGGGTCAAAGTGGGCGTGGCCTGCTGCGCTGAAAATCGGCCTATTCAGGTGATTTTCGTGCTCCCACTCTCGCTAAGCCCCGCCCCTTTTTTCTACTATCTTTATCTGAATTTTGTCTTCTCTAGCACCCTCTCTCTCTCTCTCTCTCTCTCTCTCTCAATTTTCCACACTATTAGTTTTTTCTTGTTAGTTTTTTTTTCTCTATTCCTCTCTATTTTTCCCATCTCGATAATCTCCCGGCTATTGATTTTTTTCTTATCATTTAATCCTCTTTTTCCCGATCCCGAACGCCCAGAATTACCTCGATTGCCCCATTTATTTTTCTTAATATCTAGTCTCTCTACAAAAAATGGGAGAATTTTGAGTGATTTTGAGCTGAAAAAACGAAAATTTTGAGCAATTTTAGCCAAAAATTGACTGAAAAAGTTGATTTTTTAAAATTTTTTATCCAAAAATCTGAATTATGGGCTCTAAAGTTGACTGAAAAGTTGATTTTTTGAGCCTTAAATCGATTTTAAGCCGAAAAATGCTGAAAAATCGAGAAATTTCAAGCTAAAAATTGACTTTTTGAGTCAAAAATCTGAATTTTAAGCCAGAAAATTGACTGAAAACGTTGATTTTTAGCCTAAAATTTCGGAAAATCCGAGCTGGCTCTCGGAATTTGGTGATTTTTTGCTCAAAAAATGCGATTTTTCGCCTAAAATTACCCGATTTTCTCCCATTTTCTTTCCTATATTCTATCTCACTATAATATCTATCTCGAATTATCCCCCTATTTCCCTCCAATCGTTTTTGTTTTGAAGCCTTAATTTTCTAAATTTGCTGCGAGTCCCCGCCCCTCGATCTCGATTTCGATGGTTTTTTCGCATTCCCCACCCCCTCTCTTTTTTTCTTTTCCCTCTCTCCGTTTTCCCCACTCTCTCCCCCCCCCCCCTCTCAAAAAGTCCCCACCCGAAATTGAGAATTTTCCTGGGAAAGGAATTTCAATTTTTTCAAATTTTCGAAAAATTGCGATTTCCCGGAAATTTTCGGTTTTTTTTTCATTGATTTTGGATGTGTTTTTTGCCGCATTTCCAGGTTTTTTTTTCATTTACCATCTGTCGATTCAAACCCGGATTTGTAGCTTTTTTTGGCACTGAAATCAATTTTTTCAATCAAATAATCAAAGATCACAGCCTAAAAAAGTGATGAAAATGAGCACTTTTTCCTAGAAAAAGTGCGAAAATCACTTCAAAAGACTTTAATAATAAACGGTTTGTGATCTAGAATTCGTGTTTTTTTTGTCAATTTTCAGATTTTTAGGTACATAAATTCAAAAAATTATTTACATAAAAGCATAAAAAGAGAGCAAATTATGGATAAGAGGAAACGAATTGGCGATCGGGACCGAAATTTTTGAATCTCCCGCCTTGGATTTGTCCGATTTTCGTTTGGATTCGGAACGAAGGCGAGTGAGCATACGGATGCGAGGACGATATTCTGAATTCAAAAAATTTGAATTTTTGACATTAATTTCGAATTATTCGATCTTTTTTCCCATAAATTCCAATTTTACAGCGAAAATTAGGATGAAAATTGACAAATTTTCGAAAAATCTTGGATTTTTGTGCTTAAAAACTATTTTTCGGACATTTTTGGGTCGAATTTTTTCTTCAATTTCGATTTTTCAACAGAAATTCAGTAAGTTTCAGCAAAAAATGCCCTAAAATGACTGAAATTCAACACACAACTCCTAAACCGCCCATATCTAGCATTTGCTCGTAAGGTGCTGCGCATCCTGTGCATGTTCACAGTGCACACCGGAGAATGTGCCGGATTTTACGAGCAAGTTTTTAAATTTTATTTTTAGATGAAAATTGGTGGATTTTGGCTTTAAATTGAAATTTTAAAGGGAAAAATGATGCAATTTTTGAAAAACTAGCTGTAAGTAATACGAAAAAGTCGAAATTTTTGATAAAATGTGAGAATTTACGGTAAAATCGATAAAAATCAATTTTTCACCAATTTTAGGCCAAGACTCACTACACGACCGCATCATTGCGTCCAACTCTTCTGTAATTTTCAGCGTTCGAACAGCTTCTAGAATTTTCGCAAATTTCGCATAAATGTTTCGAACGCGGCGGCTGGAAATTTGAATTTTTCGATTTTTTGGCTGAAAATTCTTTCAGGTACCATTCCGGATAGTCTAGCTGAGCGAGTGTGATGCGAAAGCCAATAAGTTGCGTTTCAGACGGTGTCACCATGCAGACTGGAAAAAATTTCAGGATTTTTGAAAAAAAAAATTTCTTGAAAAATCAATTTTTAGCCCCAATTAACCTTCAAAAGCATGTAATCTCGACGATGCAATGTATTGCTCCGCCAATTGACAATTTTCCTCCACATATTTCTCAAATCGCTCATCCGGACACTTTAAATGCTCATAATCCGGTCCAAACTTTATTTTTCGCCATTCTTCAGTGTTCGGAGAGCATCTATCCATTGCCACGTGGCAGAAAGACATCAAAAAGTCGCAAAAAATGTCGGCATCTCGAAGATTTCCCCTCCGACGCTTTTTTCCGAGAATCACATGCCGGGGGGCGGGTTTGAGGACCGCTTTGGAGGTTGTAATGTTTGTAGTTCGAATAGATTTCATTGTTTTATCTGAAAATCTGAAAAAAAATAGAAAAAATCGAGGAAAAATAGCGAAAAAACGAAGAAAATCGATGAAAATTGAGCCTCTCTATTCAAACTACCGCGCAAAATCACTAGGCTCCGCCCACAAAACAGTGCGGCGGCGCAGCGCCATCGCACACTTATTTCTTGGCTTTTGTGGGTACTGTATTAAAGGCGCATGCTTCAAAACTTTCTACAGTAATCATTTTGATCGTAAAAATTATTTTCAGGCCACTTTTCTTGGTTTTCAATAAATAAAACTGAAAAAAACTTTAAAAAAATCGTAGATTTTCATCAGAAAAAATCATTCTTTTGCTTAAATTTCAGAACTTTTCATGAAAATCTCACCAAAATTCAAAAAAAATTGTGCAGAGTACTGTATTAAAGGCGCATGCTTCAAAATTTCCTAACAACGCCTTTTTTATCTCCGTTTCGCTCGTATATACTTATTTTCTCTTGCTTTTACATGCAAATCCCATCTCATTCGTATCCTCCCAGTCCATCTGCTCATCAGACGCCTTCTTGCCAGGCCCACAGTAATAATAAATGCACTTTTCCTCCTCTCTTCGGTCCAATTTCTCTAATACCTCTCAATTTCCCATGCTCTCTCGTCTTATCCCTTCGTTCAATAGCCTTCCTTTCCCTTTTCTTTGCTTTCCATCTCTCCCGTTCGACGTCTTCATAGCTAGGAGCACTTGAACGCCATCTGCCAAGGACGGCACGAGCCGCAACGCAGCCGCGACGCGCGGCGAGGGAACAACGGCGGTGTGCGGTGGAACGCGAGAGACGCAGACGCGCGGGGTTAAAGGCGCATCTTTCATTTTGGAAAAGATATCTCGTCACGAAGACGCTCGCCGGGCTTCGATTTTGAGTTTGCCGCCGTTCGATTCGAATTTGAAGGCGTTCTTTTGACTTTCCAGGCGCGTTTTTATCGATTTCTCATGTTGCTAGGGTGATTTTCGGGTGAAAATATCGATTTTTCGGGTATTGTCACCCGAAAATCCGTGGAAAATTCGAAAAATTGGGTCGGAACTAGGAAAATTCGAATTTTCAAAGCCTACGGTATATTTTTCAAAAAAGGCGGGATTTTCGCAATTTTTTCAATGTCCTGGTGTTTTTTCATGCTTTCTTTGATTGGTGGCCCTATGTTTAGTCAAAAATGTCTTGAAAAATCCATATTTTTCCGCTAATTTAGGTTTTCTATCGATTTTTTCCTTTTTTCTCGAATTTTGAACTTCTTTTTGCTCAAAAATTCAATTTTTTCCAGAACCTTCCATCATGAGTGAGGAAGTCAAACAAGAAGTAAAACAAGAGACAGAAGTCGCCGAACAGCCGGCCACAGACGTCGAGAATGCCGCTCCAGCAGCCGAAGAAGCCGCTCCAGCTGCTACTGACGCCGAAGCCACAGCCGCTCCAGAAGAGTCCAACGGTGCGAAACCAGAAAATGGAAGCTCTGAGCCAAGTGTAAGCTCCATTTCCCTCTTTTTTTCATACCAAATTCCGATTTTTTCCAGAAATACGCCGAAAACGAGAACTACCAAAAGCTTATCGGTCTCAAGATGAAACAGCCCGTCGCTGAAGTCATCTGCGAAATCTACGATTCAGGACTTTTGACTCCAGAAGATCTTGACGAGCGCGCCGTCGACATCATCAACTCGGTGAGCGTCGACCAGGCCAAATTCATTTTCTCGGAAATCCAAAAGTCGGAGCTTTTTGGAGTTACCACCAAGTCACTCTACGTCACCTCGTTGATTCGCTCCTTCAAGGATCGTTGCCGTCACCAAGGCGCGGCTGCCGTGACTTCAGGAAAACTGATTCAGGGACCAGAATTGGAGGTTATGAAGAAGCTGTTGGAGGAGACTGGATATCCTTTGGAGGTTACCATTGGACAGAGAAAGGTCGGAGGACCACCGCCAGAGTGGGATGGACCAGCTACGGGACCTACAGGATCCTGCGAGGTAACAGATAGAATTTTCAGTTGTAGCGTCAGTTTAAGAGCTTTCCGAGGGCAGTTTCGGTATTCTGGCAAGCTTGTTTAACAGAGTTCGAAAAATGCGTCAAAATAGCCCGAAAATGGCTTTCAGAATACCAGATTACCTATTGAAAACAGCCTAAAAAGCTCGGAATAGTGTTAAATTGCACTTTTTGAAGCCCTGCGACCTCCTAATTTTCTTACAAAGACCCTCCATAATTATTTTTTTTCGCAGATCTACGTCGGCCACATCCCCAACGACATTTTCGAGGACAAACTGCTCCCGCTGTTCGCTGAATCCGGAAAAGTGTATGATCTCCGTCTGATGATGGACCCAATGACCGGAGCGTCTCGTGGCTACGCCTTCGTCACCTATTGCAACAAGGAAGACGCCGCTGCGGCTGCCAAAAAGGTAAATTTCTTGGTTTTTTGACTTGTTGAGGAGCTTCTGGACCAGAAGCTCTGGCTCTAGGGATTCTATAGATATGAGATAAGCTATATATCTTTTATTCTGGAAACCGATATCCTATATGCGTTGCATTTTGGTGTGGTCTAGAACCCCGAAAAACGCCTTTTCCGACTCAAAAATCAGCTCTTTTTTCGTTTAGTTTGACGGCCACGAACTTTCGCCTGGAAAAACCCTCAAAGTGAACATTTCGATCGCTAACACTCGCCTTTTTCTGGGAAATATTCCGAAGACGAAATCTAAAGATGAAATTCTTGAAGAGCTCAAGACTCATGCAGGTACAGATTATTCCCATTTTTTCGAAATTTTTTTATGTATATTTCCAGCCAAAAAAAAAGAATAAAAATGATATATGAATGGCGAAGAAATTCTTATTGTGATCGTGGTCTTGAATTTTTTTTGTTTAATCCATTTTTTCAGATTTGATTAATTTTTTTGTGAATGCTGCATCTCAAAAATTATATTCTGAAATTCGAAATTTCAGCATTTTTCACCATTTTCGGAGCTAATTTGTCATTTTCAGAGGGCGTAACCGACGTCATTGTGTACTCGGTGCCGGACAACGAGAAGATACGCAATCGCGGATTCTGCTTCGTCGATTTCATTGATCACAAGACCGCGTCGGATATTAAGAGAAAGATTGCTCAGCATAAGGTAAACATTGAGAGGAATTTTGAGCCTAGAAGAGCGAGAGAATTGGCCGTTTTTAACATCTAAAATGCGTTTCAGTTGATTTCAGCAGCCAAATTTGTTTTTTTGATGAACAATTTTAGAGAGATTTTGGCACCTTAGATGCGTATTTCAAGCGATTTCTATAGTCTACGCGCTTTTTTTCTAGCGAACCCCGGTACTTTTTCAATTTTTTGAACCAAATACGTTTTCTGAACTTTGCTACTTGTCTACATTGCTTTTAGGCCATCAGAGTGACTTTCTACTATTTTTTGAGTGTTTTTCAATGGGATTTTACTCATAAAACCATCAATTTGGTCAAAAATAGAGCATTTCGAATCTTAAAAGCGAGATTTGAGTGATTTCGATGGATATTGGGGCTTCAAAAGCTTTTTTAAGCGATTCTGATAGTGCCCCAGCTTTTTTTTCTAGCGAATTTCAGTCCGTTTTTCCTGTTTTTAAGCCAAATTGCGTTTTCTGAAGTTTGATCGAGCTTGAAAACGAGAGTGGACCGTTTTAAATTGATTTCAGCGCGGATTAAGCGTTTTGTTTGATTTTTGGCGCCAAAAATGCGTTTTTAGCTGATTTATGTGATTTTCTACTGTTTTTAAGCGTTTTTCACTAACAATTTCGATTCCAGATCCGTCCATTCAACGCCGACGTCTATGTCGATTGGGCCGAGCACCAAGACGAGCCAGACGCGGACACAATGTCCAAAGTGAAAGTGCTCTACATCCGTAACATAAAGGAGGCGGTCACCGAGGAGAAGTTGACAGAGCTATTCAAAGAGTACGCGAGTCTGGATCGTGTCAAGAAGGTCAAAGACTACGCATTCATTCATTTCAACGAGCGTGACGACTGTGTGAAGGCGATGGAAGAGTGGAATGGAAAGGATCTCGAGGGAACGATTGTGGAGGCGTCGTTGGCCAAGCCGCCACAGGAGAAGAAGAAGAAGCCGTCGATGCGTGGGCGTGGAAACAATTATGGTGGTGGAAACGATAGACAGCACCATGGAGGACGTGGTGGCGGCGGTAACTGGAATCGTGGAGGTGGAAACCAATACAATAATCAGGGACAATTCTTCCAGAATCAGTGAGTTTTTGGAACCTAGAATAGTGTAGAACCTGCATGAAAGGGCCCTTCTAATACAGGTATTATCGTTTTTCCCTCTCAATTATAATTTTTCACCTTTAGGAGCCCAGAATACCGTAAAACCTGTATTAGAATCGGGGCTTCTAGATCTCCAGGCCCGCCTCGGAGTGCCCTTCTCATACAGGTTTTTACGATATAACGATTTTCAAAACGCTGAAATTCGAAATTCCGGGTTTTTAGGGACTAGAATACTCAAAACAGGGCCCTTCTAATACTGGTTTTTACGATATATCGATTTTTGAGCCTCGGAAATTCAAAATTTCCCGTTTCAGCCATACATGTATCAAAAAACGAATGGGCATGAACGTTACCTCGTCAGAAAATTGGGGGAGAATTCTTACCTCATCAAAAAATTTCTCCCGAAGGGAAAACTTCTTTTTTGCTTTATTAAATTATCTACCGTACTCGCCCTGTTAATTTTTTAGCTCGTCAGAATTGTTGTCTTTCGTTCATGAATTCGAGACATATATGGTTTCAGCGAGTTTTCAGAGTCTAGAACGCTCTTAAAGCTGTATTAGAAGGGTTCTAGATCTCCCAGACATCTTCGGAGGGCCCTTCTAATACAGGGGTTTTATCAGTTTTCACTCTGAAACCCAACAAATTCCAGCTTCAACAACGGCGGCTACGACATGCCAATGCCATGGGGTGGCGGTGGTTACGGTAACGAGATGGGATACGGAGGCTATGGTGGCGGTTACGGTGGACCAGGAGCCTATGGAGACTTTGGAGGAGGCTATGGTGGATACGGTGGAGGACAAGGGGGATTCCGAGGCGGAGCACGTGGATCGCCGCGAGGTGGAGCCGGCGGCTTCCGTGGAGGACCACAGAGCGGTGGACGCGGTGGAATGTAAGTATGGGAGTGGGGCAAAATGGGGATTTCGAAATGTAGAATTGCTTTTGAGACAGATTTAAGGGCATTTCTAGGCCCATAGCCCAAATTAGGGGCGAGATATGACCCTAAATTGCATTAAATTATGTAGAAAATTATGTAGATTCACATAAAAATACAGAGAGAATTCAAAAAATCCAAATTCAGAGGATTTTCTTCGATTTTTCGGCGAAATGTTTGGACCTTTTCAGGGTTGTTTGCTATTTTTCAGATTCTTTTTCGATTTTCCCGGCTTTTTTTTCGTCTGAAATTCTGAAAAAAAATAGCTGGAAAACCAAAAAAAGTCTACAAATTTCGCCGAAAAATCGAAGAAAGGGACCTTCGAATTTCGGATTTTGGGAGATTTTTGAAGCAATTTTTCGAGGTTTTTCCAAGTTTTCCAGCTGAAAATACGCCTTAAATGATTCGAAATCCCCTAAAATTACCCTTAAATTCACAAAAATTGTTCTTAAACAGGCTGAAAATATGAAAAAAAAAACATTTGGAGGCCAATTTTTGGAAGAATTTGAGCCGAAAATTTATAGAAAAATTGTCTTTCTGTGTATCCGGATGTCCAGATTTTGACGATTTTTGGTTTTTTTTTGCATGAAAATCCCTTTAAAAATTCCAAAAATCTATGAAATTTGGATTTTCGGGAGCTTTTTGAGCGATTTTTCCCAATTTTTCGATTTTTCTTAACTTTTATAAGAATCTACATGATTTTCTACACATTGTAACTCGAAAAACCATCTGATTTCTCATATAAATATGCTTCTAAACGGTTCTAAATTGAATTCAGGGCAAACCGAAGGGGACGCGGAAAGCGGCCAGGAGATGGGCGCGGAGGACCGGCGTCGAAGAGAGATAACGGAAAGCCAGACTTCTCGGCCGACGTCAACATGAGCACTTTCTAAATTTCCCCTTCTTTTTCTTAAAATTTCGATTTTTCACTTTTAAATTATTATTTTTCGCCTCTTTTCCCCCAATTTTGTGGTCTTTTTAAGTTAAAAAGACTCAAAATTACTATATATTTATACATATTTATATTTATTCTCTCAATCACGACCTCATTCTAGAAAGTAGAAATGACAAAAAATCCTCAAAAATCTACACTATTTTTGTCAAAATCTCCATTTTCTACCCCCTAAAAATTGATGATTTTTTGTGTTGGCGAATACTTTGAAATCTCCTTTTCTCTCTCTCTGTTTCTCTAAACCCTCCACTCTCTTTCTCCAAAAAAAAAACCGTTTTATTCCTCCACCCCTCCTGAGTATTTTCCCCCCATTTTTCGCTCCAAATTTGAGAATTTTATAATAAAAAAATCACTGAAAATTTTGGATTTTTTAGCTTTAGGACCCTTCAATTCTTATGTGAATTTTTTCCAGATTTTATTCCTATTTTTCCCCCGTTTTTTTTCAGATTTTTTTTTTCAAAATTTCAGAATTTTTAGGAGGATGAGCGATGAGAAGAAGAAGAAGCGGTGGGGGAAATCCAGAATTTCAGACGAATCGACGGAGAATTTCAGCAAAATTTTCAGATTCAGCCTGATGAGCCAGACGTCGTTCTTGTCGTGGCGGCGATCGTCGACTGGGGGAAGGTAAAAATTGGAATTTTGGGATTTTTCTAGCCATTTTCAGCCAAAAATTGCAACTTTTCAAAAAAAATTTTTTTTAATTTTTGGGATTTTTAAAAACTCGAATTTTTAAATAAATTTTGAGAATAGATTTCAGCCGAAAAATGGGAATTTTTTGAAAAAAAATTTTAGCGAATCACCAGATATTTTGGTCATTTTCAGCCGAATTTCAGTTTGCAACGAAAAAATAAAAAATGAAATTTGGGTTCAAAAAATGAGATTTTCAGCCAATTTACAGCCTGAAAAATACCCAGATTTTAGTCAGTTTTTCAGCCATTTTCAGCTCATTTGTTCCTTCAAAAATCGAATTTTTTCGGGTTTTTGTTGTTTTTTTTTTTGCGTTTTTTTCCAATTTTTAAAGGATTTTTCTGGAATTTTTAATTTCACTGGAGCGCTTATTTTTCGGCATTTTTGATTGGGTTCAGAGGATTCGTTTCACAAGGAAACCAAAAATGGCTGGATTCTGGACATTGGGATAAACAGTGGATGTGGAAGAGGAAGCGAACGAAAACTACCGTAACCAAGAACCATTATCAATTTTCTTTTATTTTCTACACATTTTAATGCAATAAAAATTATTCGTTGAAAGCCTTGTGAAATGTGTGAACAATTCGGCAAAATTTCCCCAAAATTGGACTTCTAGCGGATTTTATACGTCTTCTCAAACTAAAACAGGCTTAAAATGAGCTTTAAAAGGTCAAAAACCCTGTAAAGTAGCTTAAAAATAGCCTGAAATCATCAGAAGTTCAATTTTTAGCCACTTTTTCATCTTTGGACTGGAAATTTGGGTTTATTGGGAGCTTTTTAAAGCGATTTTCTCAAAAATGAGCTGAAAGTGATCAAAATTACCTGGAATCATACTTGTAATCCGGGCGTTTGCCGGGCCTTCGCGGGCTCTGGCATAGTTTCTCTCAGAGTCAATATTTTTGGACCAACTCAATCGGATATTTTGCTTGTCTGAGAAAAAAAAGAAGGTTAGAGAGTATTTTTTGCAGTCTGAATACGGTAGCGATATCGAAGCGGAGAGCCTAAACAGCACACAAACGGTGGAGACGCAGACACTTTTTCTCTGCGTCTCAACCTTTTTTTTTCTCAGACAAGCATAATAGTGATTTTTTTCTTGAGAAAACTTTAAAAATATATACGAATCAGTTTTATTGGAAACAAAAACAACAAAAATATTTTTTTTAAAGGAAAAAATAAAAATTTGCGGGGAAAAAATGAGAAAAAAAGTCACTATTATGTTTGTCTGAGAAAAAAAGGTTGAGACGCAGAGAAAAAGTGTCTGCGTCTCCACCGTTTGTGTGCTATTTAGGCTCTCCGCTTCGATATCGCTACCGTATTCAGACTGCAAAAAATACTATCTAACCTTTTTTTTCTCAGACAAGCATAATAATTTAAGGAAAAATGCAAGCGCGCCTCATGGCTAACAGCGTTCCAATTAGGGACAGTTCGACTCCGACACAGTTCGATTCTGCTCTTGTTCTGACCTTTTCTTTTTTCATTTTCATCAAGTACCCCCGACGCCTTTTGACGTCCCCCGAGAGGTCCCCCCGCCCATTTTTGCCTGCTCTATTCTCTCTTTTTAATAGAGCACAAAGACCTTTTGAGGCTCAAAACCAAGAAGAAGAAGAAGAAGAGAAAAAAAGTGCTTCTCCTCCTCTTCTAGCCATTCTTCTAGCATCAACTGGTGTCCATGTGCTTCATCTCGTTATTCCGACGAGCGTGGGATTGGATTCTGAATTTCCAGCACACAAGACGCGGCCGATATGAGAAGTGGGTTTTTTTGGGGAAGCTCCAGATTCCAAATCTTCGAATATTATGGGATGGTTTTTTTGTTCTAGATGTCAAGCATTAAAAGTCGTCCCCAGCTTCTGAAACCAAGTCTTCTAGATGTTTCAGAAGATTCTGGAATATTCTAGTTGCTTTGAGAGCTTTTCACAATGTTCTAGACGTTCCAGACGGTTTAGAAGGTTTTCGGAATGTTCTAGAAATATTCCTACTGCAAATGTTGAAGTTTTGAATCTTCTGGAGCTTGTTCTAAAAGAGCTAAATGTTCTAGAATTTCTAGACATCTTTCTATTACAAATCTCAGGATTGTTAACCCCATGGAGCCAGTTCCAGAAGTTCCAGACATTCTATGAAATTCTGGAACGTTCTAGACGCGTTGAGAGCTTTTTTTGGGAAGTTCTAGATGTCCTAGAAGGGGTTTGGAATGTGTTAGACGTTCTAGAGAGCTTCTGGAAGCAAACCTCCAAGTTCCGCACCTTCTGGAACCAGACCAAGATTAAATCGCTCGAAATTAGGCCCATTTTGTAGCCCTGTCTTTGGATGTGCTGAGCTACAGCTTTGGGAGAGTTTTCAGAAGATTCTAGACATTTTAGAAGGTTCTAGAAACTCTAGAAGGTGTTTGAATTCTTCTCGATGTCATATCTCAAGAACTCGAACCTTCTGGTAGTTCCCAGACATTTCAAAAGGTTTTTGGAAGATCTAGAATGTTCTAGAAGATTCTGGATTCTCAAATTTCAGGATTTTGAATTTCACTGAGAATTTACAGAACTTCTAGAAGAGGTTATAGAATCTTCTAGATCCCACCTCTCAAGATTTCGAGCTTTCTGGGGCTAGAAGGTTTCTGGAAAGAGGTTTTAGAGGTTATGGAACCAACAATATAACAAAAAAAAATGAAATCCAGCTACTCAGAACGTCCCAGAATCTCTGAAAGGCTGCAAATTGGTTGAGAATTGGTAACAGTGTTGGTCGAAATCGCAAAAAACGACGGATCAATAACGGGTCCAGTACCCTCTCAAAAGATGCACAGATGCGGTGTTCTAAAACGTTCCAGAACGTTCCTAGAATCATACTTGTAATCCGGGCCTTTTCCGGGCCTTCGCGGGCCCTGGCATAGTTTCTCTCAGAGTCAATATTTTTGGACCACCTAAGTTTGATATGATAGAACTCGACGAGTTCTACAAAATGCAACTATTTGGAATACTGTATCTTGTCTCTAAACAAAGTTACAAACCATCAAGTGGCTTTTCCCGGACGGCCCGGGCCGGGCCTGCATTTTTTCGTACTATTTTGTCTGTAACTTTGTTTATAGACAAGATACAGTATTCCAGATAATACCGTTTTGTAGAACTCGTCGAGTTCTATCATATCAAACTTAGGTGGTCCAAAAATATTGACTCTGAGAGAAACTATGCCACGGCCCGCGAAGGCCCGGAAAAGGCCCGGATTACAGGTATGCCTAGAATGTCCTTGAAGATTGAATAGCGAGAATTTTTATCTGAACAGTTGTGGAAAGTTCCTGAAACTTCGTGAACTCTAGTTTCAACTATAGAATCTTCTAGAACGTTCTGGAAGGAGTTTTTAAGAAAATTTCGAATTTTCTAGACATCTTGAACTACTCTTGGACATCAACACCTAAAGTGTGTGTGTGCACTTGGGTTCAGGCGAGGGGGTCAGAAAAAGCGCCCCAGCAAACTCGTAGGCCAGAAGAAATTTAATAATTTCAAAATGAACGCGGGTTTGAACTAGATCATGATCTATTTCTTAAAAATCAAGCGCGTATTCTCGCTCATCGTTTAAAACTGTGATACTCAGCCAACGAAGTTCGGCAGCGAATTGAGAATTTTCGAAAAATTTACTGGGGCGCGCTTTCTGACCCCCTCGCTTGAACCCAAGTGTGTGTGTGTGTGTTTTTTTCGAGAACTTTCTATGAAATTTGTTTTCACCTGGACTTTTATTCTCTCTCCTCTCATTCACGTTGCTCCTGGAAACCTGACGAGATTTCTTTTCCGTCGACACTTGAGACTTTTTAAAAACGATTTATGCCGCCAAATTGCCGTTTTTGGAAGGGTTTAAAGTCTAAAATGAACTGTCGCTCGTCAGAAAGGGACTGAAACACAGTTAGCAACGACTACGTTAGTTTTCCGACCGAATTTGGCCATTTTAGAAATCTCAAAACTCCATCTTCCAGACTGGTTGAAGTTTTAAGCCGTTTCTGATAATTTTTGGCCCATTTTTTGATGATTTCAGCCTAGAATTGTCAGAAACGGTGATATCAAACTTCAAACAGTCTGAAGGATACGGGTTTTTTGAGGTTACCGTAATCTGGTTACGGTAGTACCCCCAAAATATCGGTTTTCTAGAAAACTACAGTAACCCTAGACATCTACAGGATTGATTTGACACCTAGATGCATGGTTTTGAGAGAGAGAGAGAGAGAGAGAGAAAATGACAATTTTTGGGATTTTTGAAAATTCAGATTTTTTTGGGAATTTTTTTTTGGAAATTTTCAGAACATTAGTGCTGAGCAATGATTCTTTTTTGCTCAGCACTCTCTCTCTCTAATTGGATATCTATCGAAAATCTGACACCTCTTTTCGGGGGGTGTCCCAAGAGAAAGAGAGAGAGAGAGTGTGTGTGTGTATAAGGTCAAAAATCGGATTTCAAAGAGAGGTTTTTCAATTTTAGGATTTTCGAAATTTGAAATTTTGATTTTTGGAAAAACTAGATTTTAAAATTTTTTCTATCTCTTTGAATTTTTTCAAATTTTGAGGATTTTTAAAATTCTGAATTTAAAGGTGGTGTGCGGTGAAAAATTTTATAGTTTTATTTTGTGCAGAAAGCCATGTAGATTCCCATGAAAATAAAGAAAAAATTCGAAAAATTTCCTTCATTGAGAAAAACGGCATCGAAAAGTCAAAGTGGGATCCGGTGGCCTAGCTTCCAGGTGTGAGTTTTCTAGGCCAACTGCCGGTAAAAGCGCGCGAAATTCGAATTTTTATTGATTTTCAGTGTTTTCTCTGATTTTTGTCAGGTTTTTTTATACACCATGTAGGTAATTAACAAAAACATAATGAAATCTTTAAAAGACATCAGAGGAAACACTGAAAATCAATAAAAATTCGAATTTCGCGCGCTTTTACCGGCAGTTGGCCTAGAAAACTCACACCTGGAAG